TACTGCACCGACTTGTTGATTTCTTTACCTCCCCTGCTGCTTTTCATTGTGGATATGAGACGAGACACTGGACCCCCGCCCCCCCCCCCTCCTTCTTTGTCAATTGCCTTTGTCCTGGTTGTGGTTTTGAAAGATTCTTTTGCTTCTAGATCGCTGTGTAGAATAGCCGAATTGACAATGCTGTGATTCTTCGTTTGAGGCTTATATGATCCGTGTTAGATGTCTTGTGAGGTCTGTGCAGTGAGAATGTGACGAAGAGATGAGGAGAGTGTTTTGGGTGTGAGAGAGGGAGACAAAGAGTGAGAGAGATAGAGAGAGAGGTGTGCATGGAGAGGAAGACAGTGCTGGAGACAAAGAGACAACGAGCGCGAGAGAGAGAGAGAACGAAGTGAAGACGGGTCACAGCCTGAGAGAGGTTGTCTGGATACGGAGAAGAACAAGAGGCGAGAGCCCCGCCGCCTTCCTTCCCCTGCAAAAGTAACTCTGAGGTCAATTAGTCCCAAAGTCAGATGTTAAAACTCCCCCTTTGGAGGATGAAAAGAAAAGGGCCCCTCTATCGCTCTGGAATGGAGAAGAGGCGGATCCATCTCAGCCCTCCAGTCGAAGTTTATTGGGGGGGACATCTTATGTATTTATTCGATGTCATGCAAATGCAACTTTAGGCACCTCTGCAATCCAATCCAGTGGCCTGTGCCCCCCCCCCCCCCCCCTTCAAAGGCCCCCCTTCTCCGGAGAAACAATCTGGGCGCTCCCTCAATTTCGGCTTTATCCAAACAGGCGTTGTCTGAGTGCGAGCGTGCGATGTAGGTGTTCGAATATTGGTGAGCGTCCCATGTTTCACGTGTGAGTGTTTGAGCGCGCGCGTCCGATGTGTGCTTGTGTGAACGGGTGACTGAACGTACAAGTGAAGGTGGAAACAGCCTTAACGGCTTTGGGTGCCTTGCTTTGACGTGAGAAAAAAAAAAAAAAATGAAATAAAGAAATTTGCCACAAGTGACAGATGGCAATTTTAGTGGCCCTACAATGCTGCAGTCCATAAGCTTACATTGAAAGTTCCTTTCACTCTGTTTAATTGCCCAGCTCAGTCGGCCCTGAGAGTAGTAGTAGTAGAACTAGGCTTTCTTTTAGAAGCACGGCTAATGATTTATTGAGTAGAAAAATATAAAAAGAGCAGAATGTTGATGGAATAGGCAATGTGCGTGTTTGTGTGCATGAGTTTGGGGTGTTCAGTGTCTGCAAGAGTTGTGAACAACGACCAGTTTGTTGCCGTCGATTATCAGGTGTTGTTGATTATTTTGATATTGGTCAGTAATCTATTAATTGGAAAATAGCCCCAACATACTAGTTTTAACCGTGTGCATCACTAAGTGGAAGAAAAGAGTTTCGAAAACATGACAGATATGTTGTTCAGATCCAAGCAAAATGCCTGTTGTTGATATTTCTGAAAGCGCCAAACGCCTTACTTCAATGTTTAATCTCTTATCTATCTGAAGACAATGTGTTTTAAAAGTGAACCTTAGTACAAGTTGCATCATTATACACACAGGAGTCCTTATATGGGGTTTTACGTTTCTCAATGTTATGAAAGTGTTGTAAGATTTGTATGAATAAATTTTTGTAAACAACAACATTTTCTAATGAATGTCTAATCTTTTGAAATACATAATCTTTAAGACGATACATCAGGATGAAACAAACAAAGTCGTAGCGTCTTCACACTCCTCGACGGCGAAAACCGGCGTTTACCTTTCAAAAGATCACCAATTGCCACAGGTTGAGATCCTCTGCTGAAACAAACACAAGGCCTCGAGTCACATTTACAGAAGATGAAGTGCGACCTCCTCCAGCGGGCTTTGTCGACCCGAGGCCACGTCAAGCCAGATCAACCAGAATCACTGGCGCCTTCCGAACGGGGAGGAGTTAAGGCTGAATTAACTCACTTACAAAACCCAGTGAAGTGTCTTCGGTGTTTCTCATTGATCCTCGACACGTCGCAACGTTTCCCAGGTGTTTTTTTTTTAAATTTTTTTTTTTTACCATTTCGAGTTGCAGCCGTTAGCTCAAAATACCTCAAAGTAGATTCAGCCTCAGTTGCAACCGGAGACCCCCCCGCCCCCCCGTCTGACATCCCCCCCCAAGGGGCTGGCGGAGAGATGAGCTGCACGGCTACGGAGAGGGACAGCGCCACGTCTCCCCTCCCCTCCACCGCCCCCCCCCTGCTCCCCTCCCTGGCCTTGGCAGTGGAGCTGTGGTCCCGTGGGAGAGGAGGATGGGTGTGGTACCATGTGTGTGTGAGTGTGTGTGTGTGTGTGTGTGTGTGCGCGCGCGCGCACATGCACCAGAGCTCAACTAACCCAATCATAGAAATGTTGCATGGCAACGGTCCACAAAGGGACATCGTTATGTATAAGTGTCAAGTGGGTTTGTATGTGTGGAAATGGAGTTAGTGTTGGTGTGTTTGTGTGTTTTGGTGTCTTTGCTCAACAAAAGCAGACCTTGAGCGAGCTCTGCACTGGGATGAGGTTAACACTTTCATATTTGAACACACACACACACACACACACACACAAACACAACACATCCTGAAGAACAGGAGCTGTAATAACCCCTGCAGTTACTGGCACAGTCGAGCACAGGTGGTGAATTGATGAAACTCAACAAAAAGGAATCAGCCAGAAGAAACCGCCGCATCTTTGTCTCCTCCCCCCGAGGACCTTGATTCACGGCAGCGTTGTTGAGAAAAGGGTGACGGATCGACGATTGTCTGGGTTTGAGCTACCTGTGCGATATCTAAGACGTCTCCATTCTTTATTTACCCCCCCACTTCCCCCTCTTTATTTATCCTCAGCTGTCAGGCAGCAAAGCAGACTTTAGACCCCCCCCTGACAAGACGAGATGATTAGATTCCTCCCGTCACAGTTTTTGTCTTCACAAAAGATACATGGAGCGAGCGAGTCAGGGGAGAATGAGTGCGTTCATCATTAGTCGGGATTTCATGTTTACGTGACACAAATGACACATTTTGTGTGGCGGTGGGCTTCACATGAGGGGGGGCCACCCCGAGCCAATTTGTAGATCGTGTACATTGATGCCTGGATCAATAAAAAAATGTCCCCTCGCCCCTTCGCTGTTTGCGTCCTTCCACTCCCTCTGGCCCTGTGAGTGTCTCCTAGCTGTGTGGATTTGCCCCTTGGATCGTTCGGCCTCCGGGCCTTTGCAACGAGGAACGGGAAGATGCAGGAAACAGTTCCTCTGCCCTCTAGAGACGCGTCTTAATCATGTAAACAGTATGAGAGCGGGGGAGGGGAGGTTGTCTTCAGGGCTTTTCCAGTGGGAATACCCATGCTGCCCCCCCCCTACCAACCCCCACACCCTCCTAGCACCACAGCCACACCCGGCTTTCCTACTGCACGTGCAGCGCTGATTTGTTGCCTGTTTGATGAGTGTCAGCTCACCTACAACACAGACACGGCTTCCTCCTCAAGGTCAGGGATACACAACAGAGAGGCCCCGGCAACGATGCAATCACACACACACACACACACACACACCCCTCTCTTCGCCTCATGAATTATTCAGTGGACAGGTTTGGGGGGAGACGGGAAGGACGGTGACGATCTGGTCATTGCTGCGTTGGAACCCTGCAACCTCAAAGCCCCCCCCCCCCCCCCCCCCCACCCGAGTAGCCCTCTCCCTGAGATTGCATCTTCTGGTGGGCTCTGTCACAGCAACTGTTAAGCGGGAGGCACTCGGCACTCTGCGGTGAGCAGCAGGCCCCTGTGGGAGCACTGAAGGAGGGGGGGAGGCAGACGGGGGGGGGGGGGGGGGGCAGGGAGGGAGAAAACAGGAGGTGTGGGCGAGGGTTTGCAGACA